TGGATTTGAAAAGTAAAAAAGTTTGAGAATGCCTAGAGATTGATTTTAATTGGCCTGGAGTAGGCAAGAATACCAATGTTGTTTAAAGCTCCCCAGGAGAAGATAATGGTCTGTTAGTGGAATGGTAGACGAGGAGTAGAAAAAATGAAACCTGCATTGTTAACCATTTTCCTGGAGTGTTAGTCTTCTGGCAATTAACTACATGCAAGGCTTATAAAAATACCAAATCAACAAGTCCTTATAGAACAACTACTATAGCACAAAGATGTGGGCTGATAACTATTGTGCCTTCCAATGCTTAAGTGCTATTATTTGCAAGGCATTGTGCCAGCCATTGTATGCAAATTATCTCCACTGTAGGTAGTTCCAGGCCGGGAACACTAAACCACACAGGAGTTGTGATGACAAAGAAAAACCACAGAAGAGAGTAATTCAATTATTTATTAACTGGCAATTGTCCCTGTGCTCATCTGTTGGCCTTTCTTCACAGCAATAGTTCTTTTTGCTTACTGTCCAAAATCTCAAATCTGCATTTTTATTTTTCTACTTCCTTGTTTCTTCTCCATTCTCTATTGCTGCCTTACCTTTTTACTCATTCTTGTTTGATTTACAGTATAGTGATGAAAGAGGGGACTACGATGCGTTCTAAGCCAAATTCCACAATTTACTAGCCATGTGACCTAGGAAATCACAGTCTGAAAAATGGGAATTGCCCTGTTGTATTGGGTGGAATGATGGTCTCCAGGAGGATATGTCCCCGTCCTAATCCCCAGGGCCTGTGAATATTACCTAATACAGCAAAAGAGTGAATATTACCTTATATGGCAAAAGATGTGATTAAAGATCTTAAGAGGAGTTTATCCTGAGTTATCCCTGGGCCGTAAATGCAATCATATGTATTCTAAGAGAAAGGCAGAAGGAGTTTTGAGACACATACGGAGAGAAGGGGATGTAAAGGTGGAGCAGAAAGAGATGCAACCAAAAGCCAAGGAATGCTGACAGCCACCAGAAGCTGGAAAAGGCAAGAAACTATTCTCCTCTAGTGCCTCTGGAGGAAGTGTGGCCCTGAAGCTATCTTGACTTTGAACTTCCAGCCTCCCGAACTGAGAGAATGTCAGTCATCTTAAGTCACCAAGTTCCTGGTAATTTGTTATAGCAGCCCCAGAAACTAATATACCCTGTTATCTCCTAAGACAAAGAATAAGCTAAGAAATGTGCAAGTACTTTGTAAAATGATGTGACTTACTGGTTACTTTCTACCAGGACCTCCAACAGCATGCAAATAGCTGCCTTTATGGACCAGTCTTCATGGAAAAATACTTGAGAGGACCTCCTGGAATTGTGCTGTCTCATTGTATATCCTTCTTAATCCTTCTCTCCCCATATAGCTTAGTATTTCTTTTGGTGGTGCTGTGGATATTGCTAATGGTAGCAGCTCCAAAGAAACTGAGTTAGAACTACCTTAGCTATGTCTCTTGAATATTGCTCGCAATTACTCTTCTCTTTATTCTAAGATTGTATGTTAGTCCAGGACTTACAGCAGGTTTTCTCATCAGCAGCAAGATCAACATTTTGGACTGGATAATTCTTTCTTGTGGAGACTATCCTGTATATTGCAGTATGATGAACAGCATCTTTTTGAGAGATACCACAATCACTAGATGCCAGCAGCATCCCCCAGTTGTGACAATTAAAATGACAAATCCAAATCCCCTAAGGGACAAAACTGCCCACCTCTCCCCACCCCCAGGTTGAGAACCACTGATTTAGAGGATGACAGGACTTCCCAAAGTCTGTTTGGTATGGCTCTACTCCTAGTACATGAAGACCTGTCCTAGACTTAAACAGGGTCTATATCCTAAGAGCCTGCTGATTGATCATTAAATTGGTCTTTTTGATGGTTAGACATCGTGTTTTTCAAACTGTGGTCAATATTCCATTTGCAGCAGAATCACTTGAGGTTCTTTTTGACCTACTGAGAGAGGCCCATTTACATTTTACAAGTTTTGCAGATGATTCTTGTTCAAACTTCAATTTGATCAAAAGCTGGTTTTGATGAACCTCGTACTCCAAGCAGATGTCGTTATGTATTTATTTATTCTGCTCTCCTGGTTCCGGAACATGATCCTGGTTCCAATTCAATCCTACAAACTTACTTCTAACTGAACACCTGATTATGGATACTACAGCCTAGCTTCTGCCTATACTGACATTTTAGGTCCTATATCCACACTCACCGTACTGATGTCTCACCTGTCTGCCCCCATTAGTACTGACCAAGAAAAAAGATTCGAATTACCAGAATCAGAAGTCAAAGACAGGGCATCATTATCAACCAACAAACTAGACAGTTTAGAAAAAACTGACAAATTACTAGAAAGACACAGACTCAAGAAGATACAGAATATCTAAAAAGATGTATAAGAAGAGATTGAATTGGTAATTTTAAAACTTAATTCTACCAAATATTTAAAGAATTAACACTAATCTTTCACAAACTCTTCCAACAAAATAAGAGAGAAGCACTTCACAATTCATTCTATGAGGCAGTATTACCCTGATACCAAAAACAGACAAAGATGTTACAAAAAAAGAAAACTACAGATGAATAAATTTATGAATATCAATGCAAAAATCCTCAACAACGTGCAAACTGAATCCGGCAACATATAAAAAGGATTATAAACCATTACCAAGTGGAATTTATCCCAGAAACTCAAGGATGATTTAATATCTAAAAATAAATTATAATACAGCACATTAACAGAACAAAGGATAAAAACCACATGATCTAGACGTAAAAAAAAAAAAGAATTTACAAGACGCAATACCCTTTCATGATAAAAGCACTCAACAAATTGGAACAGAAGTTTCTCAACCTAATAAAGGGCACCTGTGAAATACTCACAGCTAACATCACCACAAAGATCTCCATTATTTCATCAGTGTGCTAGGCTTGAACTTCCCAAAAATTTCTTGCCATTAAAGTCAATCTTCTTAGGGTGAACTAGGGAGCTGTTTTTATGGCCCAGTCAGCAACATGGAGCTTCCCTAGTGTCTTGTTCTGATGTATATAGGGTCGCTGTAAGTTGGAACCAACTCAAGGGCACCTAACAACACTGTAAAATGTCACTGTCAAAATTATGTACTGCCTTCCATTCTTTCCATCTTACATATGACAAGGTGGAGAAAAAGACAAAATGAGATAAATTTTAAATAACTTTAGTATAGATATAAAATGATAAATCAAATATTTTCTTGCACATCACATATGTAAATAGACAATTAGGTAAGGGTATATCTAAAAATGTTTAGCTTACTTAAAATTCTTGTTTAGGGTTAATTTTAAATATTTAGCTCCTTAGCAAATAACATATTTTTAAATGGACTAGAGAATGGTTTTGTGTTTTATATATTTCCATTAAATATAATCAGTGATTTAATCAATTACTGTACGTACTTTATTTGTGAATAATGTGAGACTTTGTATAGTTTTACAAATTCGAAGTAGTAAATATGTTCATTTTCTTTTCTTTCCAGAGGTTCAATTGAAAAAGACATTATTTTTAAATTTAAAATTTCAAAACACACAGTCTGTGCTAATTTCCAAATTTGTCTGTGATAGCTTCGTGCTATGAAAAGGAGGGAGAGCAGCTGTGAGGCGAAGAAAGAAAGGGAGAGAACGGTCTTACAGTAAATATTAGTAAAATTAAGAGAAACTAATCAATACTATCACTTACAAGTGTATAAAAACTTCTTCCTGCTACTTTTAGCACAATCTGGTGGAGATAAATTTCAGGTACAGTAAGTGTCAGAAAAATCAGTAGAATTTTCTAGTTACTTTAAATCCACGCATAGTACAGTAATATCAATTTTAAAACTGAGAAATCTAAATACACATTCAGAGCAACTAGAAAAAAAATAACACAGACCTTGTAAAAAATGGCATTTACAAAAAAGGAGTTTGCCAAAAGTAATTGCAAAGTTACATGTTTACAGCAGGCTGAATTTACACAGTATCCTTTAAGTAAACATCAGAAAGTAAAATAAACACATAATCCTCTCTCCCTTCCCATCAAACTATTTCAAAAAAACTAATATTGCCACTCCAATGAACAAAAATGTGAAAAACTCTGCTCAGAGCTTACCATAACCTCATAAACTGTTTTGTTTCATTTCTTCAGCATCTTTCCCACTAACACCCTCATTTAGCTCCTACAGCAATTACTTTCTTGAGTCAATTTAAGAAAAGTCTAAGAAGTAAGGCTTTATATGAATGGTCACTGGTTATTGGTATCATTATTCTTTGTAAGAATAATTTATATATATTGTTATTAAGAAACACTTAGATTAGCCTATTCTTTAAAGTATTAAAAATGACATTCTTTCAGGAACAAAGGAAACTAAATAAAATCTGATTATTATCATAAAATGGTTTTGCTCTGTCTCTTCTGTTTTACAAGTCTGTCTTTTTTTTTTCCCCTATATTAAGTTGTAAATACTTTAGAATTTACTGGACAAAGAACTTCCCAATATAGTTGAGAAGACTCATCTGAATGTGTTAAGTAGAAAATAGTAAAAGTGGTTACATTCTAAAAGAGCTCAAAGCAATTGTTATACCACATTTGTCCGTAGGAGTTTATGTAACTCATTTCTCTACCTCACTCATCCCGTAATATTCCTTACAAGCAACGACTCCTTATGCTTCCTGGGTTCATTTGAAGCACATAACCCAGCAAATAATTTGAGCAATGATTTTCACTCTACTGAAGATGGTACATAATTAGAAGCATTCTAGATGCACAGGAGAGAAGTTAATTCATTACAAACAACGGATGCCAGAGGAAATCAGTGATTCTCTCCTGGAACCCCAATTGAGAAAGACTGTGATAGACACTAGCACGTCTCCCACTCAGCCCCAACTACTCTTCCCTCAGACCCATGGTACCTATTTTACAAATGGCAGACTCTCCTATATTCACACCCCTAGGGAAAAGATGTTCACAAATACTGAACTGTATATATTTTAATCTTATGTTTCCACTTAAGCTATAGTTTTCTCTTCAGTTACTACCTCTGTCAAGTTCAGTACATACCAAGTCATCTTTTTGTGACCTTTTTCTTTTCTATCCACAATCAACAAAAATCTTCAAAGTGTTTCTAAAGGTCTAGAATCTACAACTTCTAGATATTTTACATAACATAACAAATGCATATAAATTCTGAGTTATCCTATCCCTGTGAACTAATGATGACATTTAATTACTCTGCTCAAAAAGATGGCATGAATTTTGAAAATCCTTACTTGACTCTTCTAAGAGGACAAACAAATACTAAAGACAGTAAAGTTTTTGTGGTATGTGCTAGCTGGAAAATTCTTAAGATACATTTTACTGAGCCATAGCAAACAATCTGAAAGAATCTCATTCCACACTACACAGGATCAACATAACTTAAAACTAAAGATTACTGTCCTTACTAACACCGAGGAGCCACAGTTTGTTTAGCTTAGTGACTTGATCTTTTTCCTTTTAGGAAAAGAGTGACAATGATTCCAAAAAAAGAACTTCTGAAAGAGTTGGAAAAAATATCTCAACACATTGGAACATTAGTCACATTACAGTATACAATAAACCATGGGTTGGCAAATGTTTTCTGTAAATGGCCAGATAGTAAGATTTTAGGTTTTGTGGCTACACAGTCTCTCTAGCAACCACTCAACTCTGTTGTTGTAACACAAAAGCAGCCATAAACAATAAGTAAAAGAATGAGCATGGCTGTATTCCAATAAAACTTTATTTATTCATGGACACTGAAATTTGAATTTCATATTAATTTTCGTATGTCACGAAATAGTCTTTTTTTAACCATTTTAAAATGTAAATAACTATTAGCTCACAGGCCATGACAAGCAGGTAGTGGGCTGCATTTGACCCACAGACATTTGGTCCATGGGCCAGAGCTGGCCATTCACTTGTATAGGCCTTTATATGTTATGCAAGATGTTTAGAAATTACAGGTTCAAGGTCTAGAGACTTTGGAGATTTTTATTTTCTAAATCTCTCACTTTAAAACTTATACCAGACACAATTTCTACTTTATAGATAAATATAATCCCATAAGAGAAAAAATAATTAAAAAAAAAATACAATTCCCTAGTTAAAAAAAAAAAGAATCTGTAAAACCAATGTTTCAGTTTAAAACATATAATTTGGAGACATGTAAAATTAAACAAAGATGAAAATTTTTGTTCTATGCATAATTTTTATTTATGCATATAAAATATGCATAGATTTGTTACATAATTTAGTTTTAACTTTAGGAAAAAAAACAATGAGGAAAAAGTTTATAAATTTATCAGTCCCTTTTATAAAAGCTGCAACTGAAACCAAAGACCACCTGTATGTACAGTCATCATCTCTGAATACAACATCATTTATACCTAGAAATTAGAATTTACCTAGATGTGTTCTGGCTATTGTTTAAAAAATACACAATTACATCATAAACACTGTGGCTTCTATAATTTGGGACAGTTTTCAAAGGCAAACTCCTGCTTCCCTAACATAAGGAAGCAAGAATCTTTCCATAGTCATCACCCAGTATAAAAAAATTTCACAGTCTGATATACCTTGATAAAGGTAAATGATTCACTGCTGCATTTATATCCTCAGTAGTTCCTAAACACAAAATAAATTTAGCAGGAACGTGTATCTGTGTCGGTTTTCCAAAGCAAAATACTAATACAAGATGTATTACATCGGCAAAAGTCCATGAGCTTAAAGAAAAAGGAATTGAGTATAAAATGTTTGTGACCTTTATCCTTTCTAATTTTACAACAGCTTCAAGTATTGAGACCTAATTGGTTTCTTGAGCCTATCCATGATGAACATAACTCAATCTTATATTTTAACATTCCTCAGTGCCATCTTTTGTTCTTTGCTTCATTTTGCGACGTATAAGATCATTTCTTCCAACTTCAATCATTTGTGCTTCCCACGATTTCATTTCATTGTCATAACGAATTTTATCATCTTTAGCAAGTTGAATATATACCTGAGAAAAAGCAGAATTATTAACATGATTTCTTTACAGAAGAATCTTTGCAATTAATTTCTGGAATGCCTCTACATTCTAGAAATTACATTATTGCTGTACACGTATAAAGAGGGATAGGAGAAGGAATGCTTTTGTAAGACAAAAGTTAGGTAAGAAAAAGGTAAGAGAGAAAGATTAGCTAAGTTATCAGTTTTAGGGCTTGGGGTACTGAAAAGAGGCAGAGGAGGGGTGTGATTTCCACTGTGTATAAAGTGGACACTACAAGCTTATGAGTGGCTGTAATTTTAAATATAAATTTTATTTTCAGTCAAAAACTAGAGAGAAAAGCCCAAATGAGTCTAAGAATATGAAAATAATTTTTAAAATATTTTAACTGTTATTAGTAATATAAGGGTTTTTTTCACATGAAAAAAGCCTTGCCCTAACATATTCTCTCACTGCAACTTAAGACTAAAAACTATACAACTTACTTGCTTTTGAGAAGTAGACAGATTTTTCCAGTTTTCATTTACAGTCTTCAGCTTTGCCTGTAAGACAACATATGTTTCAAGTAGCAGATATATGGGGACTTCAAGTGGTTAGTTTTTTTTTATTTCAACAAAAACTCAGATATAAAGAATTAAAGGAAAGTCTCATCAATTCTTAACATCTTTTCTCTCTAAAACACTATTAAACTGTTAAAAATTTACATAAATGAATTGAATGAAGTACCTACCCTATCTTTCTTGTGGTAATATATATGCACAACAAAATATTTGCAGATTCAAAATTTTTTCCTGTACAATTCACGACATTGATTACATTTATCCTGTTGTGCAACCATCATGACTGTTTCCAAATTATTCCACTACCATTAACAGAAACTCAGTGCCCCTTAAGCAATGACTCCCCCTGTTCCGCCTCCCTCCCACCCCTGGTAACCAATTTTGGTCTCTACACATCTGCCTATTTCATACAAGTGGTATCATACAATATTTGTCCATTTGTGACTGATTTATTTCACTCAGCATAATGTTTTCAAGGTTCATCCACGTTGTAGCATGTATCAGGACTTCAATTCCCCTTTATTGCTGAGTAATATTCCATTGACTGTATACACATTTTGTTTATTCATTCATCTGTTAATGAACATTTAGGTGTTTTCAATCGCCTCATATGCATGCGAAAGCTGGGCAATGAATAAGGTAGACTGAAGAAGAGTTTTATAGTTTTAGTTCTCACATTTAGGTCCGTAAGTTAATTTTCATATATAGTGTGAAATACGGGTCCAGCTTCATTCTTTTGTATGTGGAAATCCAGTTGTCCAGCATCACTTATTAAAGAGACTATTATTTCACCACTGAATGGGCTTAGCACTCTTGTTGAAAATCAACTGACCATAGATGTATGGGTTTATTTCCGGACCCTCAATTCTATTCCACTGGTGTGTGTGTCTGTATATGTATCATCATACCAGTACCAGCCTGTTTTGATTACTCTAGCTTTATAGAATATTTTGAAATCAGGAACTGTGAGTCCTCCTACTTTGTTGTTCTTTTTTTTAAGACTGCTCTGGGCTATCTGGGGCCCCTTGCCATTCAATACAAATTTGAAGATTGGCTTTTCCGTTTCTGCAGACAGCTGTTGGAATTTTAATGGGGACTACACTGAAAATCTAGAATGTTTTGGGTAGTACTGACATCTGAACAATATTAAGTCTTTCAATCCATGAACATGGAATGCCCTTCCATTTATTTAGGTCTTAATTTCTTTTAGTAATGTTTTGTAGTTTCAGTGTACACATCTTTTACCTTCCTGGTTAAATTTATTCCTATTTTATTCTTTTAGATGCTATTGTAAATGGAATTGTTTTCTTAATTTCCTTTTCAGAATGCTCAATGCTGATATATAGAAACCCAACTAATTTCTGTGCGTCCTTGTACCCTGCCACTTTGCTAAATTCATTTATTAGCTGTGGAATATTTGGAATTTCCTATATCTAGGATTATGTCATCTGTGAAAAGGAATGGTTTTACTTCCTCCTTCCCAATTTTAATATCTTTTATTTATTTTTCTTGTCTAATTGCTCTAGGTAGGACTTCCAGTATAATGTTGAATAGCAGTGGTGAGACCAAGCATGCTTGTTTTGTTTCTAATCTTAAGAGGAAAGTTCTCAATCTTTATCCACTGAGTATGATGTTAGCTGTGGATTTTTCATAAATATTCATTATCAGCTTGAGGATCATCCCTTCTATTTGTAGCTTGTTGAGTGTCTGGATTTTTTCAAATGCCTTTTCTGCATCAACTGAGATGATCACGTTGTTCTTTTATTCTATTAACATGGTCTTATGGGTTGAATTACATCCCCAAAAAATGTGTGTTATAAATCCTAATCTCTATGCCTGTGGTTATAATCTCCTTTGAGGATAGGTTGTCTATGTTATGTTAATGTGGCAGGATTAATGTAGGGTGTATCTTGAGTCAATCTCTTTTGAAATATAAAAGAGATTAAACAAGTGAGCAGAGCAGACATGGGGTTAAGATAGATGCCAAGACACATGGAGATCTCCAAGGAACCAGGAAATAAACTGAAGAGACAAGTACCTTCCTCCACAGCCAACAAAGAAAGCCCTACCTTGGGGCCAGCACCCTGAATTCTGACTTCTAGCCTTTAAACTGTGAGAAAATAAATTTGTTAAAGCTACCCACTTGTGTATTTCTGTTACAGCAGCATTACACAACTAAGACATTGATTAATTTTCTAATGTTGAACCACCCTTACATTCTTGGAATAAATCCCACTTGATCATGATGTATAATCCCTTTAATATGCCTTTGGGTTTGGTTTGCTAGTATTCTGTGGAGGATTTTTGCATCTATCTTCATAAGGGATACTGGTCTGTAGTCTTCTTGTAGTACCTTTTGTCTGGCTTTGGTATGGGTAATGCTAGCCTCATGTATAAGTTAGGAAGTGTTTCCTCCTCTTCTACTTTTTGGAGAAGTTTAAGGATTGGAGTCACTACTTCCGTAAGTGTTAGCTACCAAATATTTCAGTGAACCCTGATACAACCTTTAAACCTTAAACCAAAAATATCCTTTAAAGTCTTTTTAAAATCAAACAACAGTTTAGCTTAACTAGAAAAGAATGTGTGCCTTGAGCATTGTGCTCTTTTAAGATCTATCTATATGGGATCAAACTGACAATAGCAACTCAAAAGATCAGATAGAAAACAGGTGGCAGGGAGTTTATGTTAATGGAGGAGGAACAACTAGGAAAAGGAGGGTGAAAATGGTTCTACATCTTGAAGAATGTAATCAATGTCACTGAATTATACATATAGAAACTGAATTGGTGTATGTTCTGCTGTGTATATTCTTAACAAAAATAAAATAAATTATAAAAACAAAAACATTTCAGTAAAGCCACGAGGTCTTTGTTGGCAGGTTTTTGATTACTGATTCAATCTCTTCACTTGTTACGGGTCTGTGGAGACCTTCTATTTCTTCTTGAGTCAATGTAGGAGGTTTATATGTTTCTAGGAATTTGTCCATTTCCTCCAATTTGTTGGCATATGTCATGGTTTGAATTATGTCCCCCCAAAAATTTGTCTATCAATTTGGCTGGGCCATGATTCTCAGAACTGTGTGGTTGGCCTCCATTTTGTGATTGTAATTTTATGTTAAAGAGGATTAGGGTGGGATTGTAACACCACCTGTACCCAGGTCACATCCCTGATCCAATGTAAACGCAGTTTCTCTGGGCTGTGGCCTGCACCACCTCTTATCTCTTAAGAGATAAAAGGAAAGGGACACAAGCAGAGAGTGGGGGACGTCATACCATCAAGAAAGCAGTGCCAGGAGCAGAGCGTGTCCTTTGGACTGGGGTCCCTGTGCAGAGAAGCTCCTAGTCTAGGGGAACACTGAAGAGAAGAAGGCCGACAGAGAGAAAAAGCCTTCCCCTAGAGCTGATGCCCTGAATTTGGACTTTTAGCCTACTTTAACTGTGAGGAAATAAACTTCTCTTCGTTAAAACCATCCACTTGTGGTGTTTCTTATAGCAGCACTAGATGACTAAGACAGCATACAATTGTTTATACTATTTTCTTATGATCCTTTTTATTTCTGTAGGGTAAACTGTAATGTTCCCACTCTTATTTCTAATTTTAGATTTCTGCATCTTCTATCTCTGTCTAGCTAAGAGTTTGTGAATTTTATAGATCTTTTCAAAACATCAACTTCTGGTTTCATTGATTCTACTGTTTTTCTATTCTTTATTTCATTTATCTCTGCTGTGATCTTTGTTATTTCCTTCCTTCAGGTAGCTTTGGGCTTGGTTTGCTCTTTTTCTAGTTCCTCAAGGTGTAAAGTTATTGATTTGAGATCTTTTTTCTTTTTTTAATGTAAGCATTTATCACTATAAATTTCCCTCTGAACACTGGCTTCATTGTGTTCCATAAGTTTTGGTATGTTGCACTTTCATTTTCATTCATCTCTAAGGTATTTTCTGATTTCCTTTTTGATTTCTTCTTTGACCCACTGGTTGTTTAGTAGTGTGTTGTTTAACTTCCACACATTCGGGTATTTTCCATTAATTTCTTATAGTCAAAGAAGAAATACTTTGTATAATTTGAATCTTCTTAAATTTACTGAGACTTGCTTTGTGACCTAACATATTGTCCATCCTGAAGAATGATCCATGTGTACTGAAGAATGTATATTGTGCCGCTGTTGTTCTACATATGTCTGTTAGATCTAGATGATTTACAGCACTGTTCAAATCCTCTATTTCTTTTATTGATCTTCTTTCTAGATGTTCCATTGGTATTTATCCCTTCTGAACTAGAAATATTAACATTCAGGTATAATCTATGCTATGCATAGACTCACTTCAAAGACTGAATGTTTTTATTTCTTCCCTGTAGCTTTATGGTTTGTTCTAAAATTTGTGCCAAAAGTGTTTATGTAAAGTCACAGGAACAATACAACACTAATCCCCAATTCTACTTAGCTGAACTTAATTATGGGACCTAAAAAAAATCATTTTACCTTCGTTAGGCTTGGTTCTTCATCTGTACATATAAAATTAAAGAGACGAAAAGATATTTACTTTTGCTGCCTCCTGAAACTCCACTAAAATGTCATTAAACAACAAAAATTTTCTTGAGGCATAAACCCACATAGACAAAGACAACAGAAGAGAGCACTACCAACACAAAATTTTGGAAGCTGCTAAGTAGATGGAGATGTAACCGACGTAACTGATCTAAGAAAGCTGGCAGTGGGGAAAACCAAATAGCAACTTGATTTATAAGGCAGAATTCCCAAATAGCTCAGGAATTGGCAGCACCAGATAGGTGTAAACTAGAGGTAAAGATAGGGCTAAAAACAGGAGGACTGACTGAGTCTGTTTAAAAAGAGGTTAAATCTCCACCAAGGTGGATTCTAGGACATTTATCCTCTCGAAACAGTGAAATAAGAGTCACACCAGGAATCCAGGCATAGTTGAGGGTGACAGTACCATGCTAAAAATGAGGGAGATAAAGTGAAAATGCATACAACATCCCAGAAAGAAAAGCAAAACAGGGTAAGACACAGAAAACAGTAACGACAAGAAAATGAGAGGAGCAGTTCAGAAGATCCAACACACAAATAGTAGTTTTAGAAAATAAGAAAGAAATCTATGTAACGTGCTCAAAACACTGTTCCAGAACTACAAGACAAGAGTTTTCAGACTGAAAGGTTCATTTAGTACCTAATGGAGGTAAACAGCTTTACACCAAATATACTAAGGAACATAGCTTTCAGGGAGGAGAAAAAATAAACCAGATCACATTCGAAAAATCAAAATTCATAATAGCTTTATACTTTTCAAAAGTAATACAAAAAGCTAGAAGAAAAGGATCAATACTTTTTAAAATTCTGAAGGAACATGATCTCTGGCCTAGCATTCTATGCCCAGTTAAATTATCAAGCAAATGTGAGGATAAAGACATTTCAGACATGAAAAAATTGATCTCCCATGTGCCCTTATTGGGGAAGGTGCTGTATCAGAATGAAAGTAAACCAAGAAAAAGACAACAGAAGCATGACACAAGGATACCAATGAAGGAAGATCCCACAATGTTAGCTTTACACTAAGTATAGAAAGTAACAGCCAAACTGGAACAAACCAAAGGGTCCAGACTGCCATTGACAGGGTATCTAAAACGTCTAAATGTACTGAAAGCTAGTGAAAAATGAAGAGCTTGGGGTTGGATTATTGATACATACACAGAAACCTAAGCAAGCAAAAAACCAAGACCTTCAGGGAAAATAAGAAGTTCTGTAAGAAAAGAAAAATAATCATACTATATGGCACAGCTGAAATGCTATCCGGTCAAATGACTCATGGCCACCCCGTAAGTGTCAGAGTAGAACTGTGATACATAAGGTTTTCAATGGCTGATTTTAATTTTTTTGGAAGTAGATCACTAAGCCTTTCTTCTGAGGTGCCTCTGGGTAGACTCCAACCTCCAATCTTTTGGTTAGCAGCTGAATGCATTAACCATTTGCACCACTCAGGGACTTCCAGCTGTGAATAGGGTTTACATAATCATAATAAACACTGAACACTAACTTAATCAAAACTATGATAACTGTATTGTGACACAGGGGGATGGTAAAAGTACATATGAAGAGTGGGATAAAAAAAGAGTTAAATGTTCATCTTAAACAGTCTAAGTCAACAGGTGCCTAAAACTGAACGAAATCAAGAAGTAATGATAAAAAGATGTTATTTACAGAAATGGAGGCGATATCACAAGAATCAGCTAAAACAGTGGAATGCCCTTGCTTCTGGAGCAGGGGATAGGACACAGTAGTGAAAACTGCTTTCAAGCCTTAAAGAATTTGACTCTTTAAATTATGAGGATGTACAATCCTCATAATTTTTTAAATGAATAAAAATTGTATAGTCAAATTATATTTGAATTTCCAGGGATATTCCTAGGTGATTCCAAGGTGCAGCCATGAATTGAGAAGCACTGATCTAGGAGGATTTTCTAGCATGTAACCTTCTTTACATTGGTAAGAAAACTAAATCCAAGGTAAGTTAGTGACATAATTGGGGAACTGTGGCAGTGGGGAAAACCAAAGAGCAACATGATTTACAAAGCATTCTTGCACAAGTAATCTTTTTGCTTCAATAAGATGAATTTCACACAAATTGAAATGATCCAAATAAATAAATATTGAGAAAATTCCAACTTAAATAGGCATGCATTTCAGTAACGTAGGGCCACAGAAATTAAATTTAAAATCCCTAGGGGAGTAAATCAGTGAAACTATATAGCCAACAGAGACTATGACACAGACATATTATCTGTATATTAAATGGGATTTGTGAAATGAACTACAGTTCCAAAAAACTCCAAAAAGCTAAAAATCTTGATCTCAGGTTGATAAGGGTTAGAGATCTGAATATCCACTTCTTTTATCATGTCACATTATAAAAGGAAAATAGAATTACCAATTTACAACTTCCAAGAAGAAAAGGAAAGACTAAGACACAACAGTGACTGCCGAATTTTTTCTTTGACACATTCATATGATGGCACTGCCATGTGTAACGCGTTCCCACAGGCATAACTAAAACTTCATTAAAGGATGCAACATGGAGCAATAGGTTATACTTAATTTCCAGTATAAAATGTTGTAACTCTACTCTCATTCATCCCCAGTGACAGCAGAATTCTTAAGAATAGCTGGATTAGAAAAGTCTCCAGAAGACCTTTAACATCCCCATAAACCTGAAAATATAAGTTTTTTAATCAGAAAATGTTGACAATGTATATACTCACAACTACATAACCAAATTAATTATATGTGGTAAGAAATAAAAAAGTATTTTTCTCTAAAAGAGAGTCCAAGAAAGAGGGTCCCATATAAAGAGTTTAATTTCTATAATTACTACTTTTCTTCACCACCTGACACGACATAGTGCATCTATAACTTACTGATAATCTAAATATTTAAAAATAAACACAGTTCTCTTTTACCTGTGATGAAGCATCCTTAGCTTCTTGGAAACTTTCAGCTATAAAAATGTTATAAGCTGAGCGAGGTCTTTTTGGTTTTCCAAGCATTGTTAATTCCTGAATAACAAAAATAGAAGAATCAGATATGGTTTTAACATCTATGAGACTTAATTTTAATTACAGAAACTTTACTCACTACTATGCATTATGAAATATTCCTTAAAGTGAATACTATGATCTTATAAATAAGTACGCACATAGTTATTACATCTTGAAGTTAAAATTTTTTCATAATACTAAGTTTTGAAAATTATAACAGACTTTACATAATAGATTTTATTTTACAGATTTACGCAAAAACATTTATTTTACGTATTTATTTTCATGATCACCAGGAACTGGATTAAAAAAAAAAACTCACTGTCACTGCGTAGATTCTGAGTCCTGGCAACCCCATGTGTTATAGAGTAGAACTGCTCCATAGGATCTTCTTGGCTATAATCTTTAGAGAAGAAGCCCTGGTGGCACAAGAGTTAAGAGCTCTGCTGCTAACTGAAGAGTTGGCAGCCTGAATCCACCCACAGCTCCTCAGTAGAAAGACCTGGTGATCTGCTTCCATAATGATTATAGCCAAGAAAACCCATGGGGTCATTATGAGTCAAAATTCACACATCACCTAACAACAACAAAAATCTTTACAGAAGCAGATTACCAGGCCTTTGTAGTGCCACCGGGCGGGTTCAAACCACCAACCTTTAAGTTAGTAGTAGAGCGCAAACTGTGCACGCCATCCAGGGACCTTGTGAACTGGATAACCAAGCATATATTTACAAAACTTTTTTAAAAGATAAAACTATCCCAGTTTCATTCTTGAAGGACACTACCATCCACGTGGTGAAATCACCACATGAGGCTCCCACATCAACTCATGAACATTGTGGTATCTGTTTAATCTCTCATCTCATTCCCTTCTCTGTATATCTCTCAACTTTTAAACCACAATACGTGTTAAATTTAATTGTTTTTACTAGGTACCAAAAGGGGGAAAGAAAATACAGAAGAGAATACGTACAAGTATCCCTTGCTATCTAACTCTATTTAGTTCCTTAGTTAAAAGAATGCAGGATGTTGCATTCCCCCAACCAATTTAGTTTCTGAATTTGGAGTAGTGAACAGCACTTGGTTTACAAAAGTCTATGGCTTTTAATTGCAATTTATTTATGGTCAATGACAAATCCAACTTTTATCAGATAAAAGTTGTTTCCTTCCATATAAAATCAGGGCTCCTCTGATTTTCATCTAGAGATTATTTCCTTCTTCCTGAACCTCTCATCACTTAATAATAAAACAACTGTAGACTCCAAGCACTTTACAACTTATCTATTTCCCCTTTGTGTCTAGGAAGTTTTCCCCTCAGTGCTTCAGACTTACAACTTCCTAGATGCCACACTTCTCACCTACCTCTGAAATAGCTGACATTAGGAATCTTTAGTGGGAAGAACAATTCCAAATAGGGAGTGAGAATGCAAAGAGGAACTCCTTATATCTGCCCCTAACCCTGATTTCTGACCCTCGCAACACTTAGCACCAGCTGGGAGCATTAAGGAGGAAGAGGCCCTATTACTCACTCTTCTGGTTCCCTTTTACTAATTGGATCAGCAGTCCTAGATCACCATCATTGACTTGAAACTGGCTGAGTCTTCAATCCTACTGCTAGGACATCAGGGTCAGGGAGAGATATCTTGGTATCTCACATTCAAGACTGGTATTAACTCTGATGACCATTTTATGTAATAGATGGACTGGACGAGCAAGCTGACCACTTCACAACTAATTGTATCTACAGAAAAATGTAGTCTAACTTTCAAACAATAGGGTTTATTTGGATTAATACCTTGTTGTTGTTATTAGGTGCTGTCGAGTCCATTCTGACTCATGGCGACCCCATGTGTTACAGTACAACTGCTCCATAGGGTTTTCTTCACTGCCATCTTTAAGGAGGTCGATGGCCAGGTTTTTCCCCCACGGAGCCACAGAGTGGGTTCAAACCACCAACCGTTCAATTAGCAGTGGCACGCTTAACTATTTGTACCACTAGAGCTCCTTGTTAATACCTTAAGCTGCTACAAAATATCATAAATTTGGTTACATCCAAAAGTAGCAACAAGACTGTCTAAGACACACACTCAGTGGAAAGTGGTCCTAGTGGCAGAGGTAAGAGAGCTATCCTATTTTTGCATAACTGGAGGACACCTAATGACTTTCTACCATATATCCACACATATCATCAAAATATGGGAAACCTACCTAAACTCAAAATTATACAAATTTTAGTTTACTGCCAGAGGAAAAGAACATTTCAACGATACTCACTCTCTTTTTTATTAATGCTTTCCTTTTTAAACGTTTTTGCATGATTTCTTTTTCCATAGATACGATCTGACTTGGAGTTAGCTGCTCTTGAATTCTGTTTATCTCTTCTTTGTATGCTTGCCAGTCCGCCTTGTAAGCATCTTCATATACCTATAAATAAAAAACCCAAATAAGAAGTGAACAAACTGTTGTTGGCAAATTTAACATCGCACACCTACCAGGGAAAGACAACTGCGTGACTTCAAAGACATTAAACCACCAGGGAGAAAATGTGCTCTGGGATAACATGTATATGGATAATAAACAGTATTTTTCATATACATGTTAAGCAAGGTGGAAGTCTAGCAATTAGCTTCCAATTTCGCCTTGCTGCCAATCTTTCGCCTCTACACCCAAAATCCATATTCTCATCATTTACACGGATCAGAAGATATAAAGTTCCTTTGTAGAAAATGAATGTTAAAAAAAAAAAAGTATGGGCCATCTGGTCCCTTAAAGAACGTGATAACTGTCCCTAGCTACAGGTCAGCAATGTTGAAAATTGATGTGCTTACTGACCAACTGAATAGAATTAAACCATGCATATATTGTCAACTTATTTTTGACAAGGGTGTTAAGCCCATTCGATGGGGAAAGAAGAATCTTTTCAATAAACAGCGCTGGGAAAATTGGATTTCCACATGCAGAAAAATGAAACAGGATCCATGCCTCATACCATACACAAAAACAAATTCAAAATGGAATAAGGACTCTTCTAATGGATTCTTAGAAGAACAAGCAGGGGCAATGTTGTCAGGCCTAGCTTTTAAAAATGGATTATCTAATATAATAAAAAAAGCACAAACAGCAAAAGACAAAATAAATAAAAATTAAAAACTGTGATTCATCAAAAGACTTTTAAAAAAACATGAAATGCCAAGCTACCGACCGGGAGAATATCTTCAGAACCCATATATCCAATAAAAATCTAATAACCAAATATATATAAAACTTTGACAACTTCACAAAAAGTCAAACAACCAAATCATAAGATGGGCAAAGGACATGAACAGACATTTCACCAAAGAGGACATTCAAATGGCCACCCAACACACGAAAAGATGCTCAACATCATTAGCCATCCAAAACCAAAAAACCAAACCCACTGCCGTCAAGTCGATTCCAACTCATAGCGACCCTATAGGACAGAACAGAACTGCTCCATAGGGTTTCCAAGGAGCATCTAGTGGATCTGAACTGCTGATCTTTTGCTTAATAGCCGTAGCTGAGGGATGCAAATCAAAATGATAATGAGGTATACCATTTCACTCCCACTAGGATGACTAACGAAAAAAAAAACAAACAGAAAACAGTAAATATTGGCGATGATATAGATACCCTAAAATTACTTGAGGTCTTGACCAGAGTAAGAGAAGCTAAAGCAAGGTTCAAGCCTAGAATCCATTTTATGTAGAATTTGTTTAAGGTTATAGTAAATGCTAGAATTCATTTTGTGTCAGTGTTTCTTAAAAGTTATAGTTACCTAGTATGAAAAGTTCCAGGAAGAAATGAGAGTACAAGCTGAAACTCCCTGTATCTCCTACCTAGAAGAGGAAAGTTTCATGAAGGGTACTTTATCTTAACCAACAAAGAGGCTATGCTACAGGGAAGTCAGGCTCGCACAAAGGAGCGTATTACAATTTCCTGGTGACTAACCTAAGAACCTGTTGCAAGTCACTAAGCCAAGAACAAATGTTGCTGGGTCATTCCCAAGGAACGCTCCCCATAGTAACTAAATGGTATCTAGCTAACAAAGACTCTTTAAACCAATCATGTATCCCCATATGTTATATTTCCCACCTTTGAAAATGAGGTATTAATGAATAACCAATCACAATTTTTTTAATTTCACTGTCTGTAACAGTGTGTTAGAAACTCCCTGATTATGATTCAGTGGATTTTGCTAGTCTCTTGTGCCCAGTGCAATGATTATATTTGTCTTGGCTTAATAAAAATCTTTTGATTAAATTTGAATCTGGGGTCCTTTTCCCCTATGACAGTGAGGATGTGGGGAAATTGGAACCTTTATCCACTGCAGGTGGGAATGCAAAATGGTACAGCTGTCGTGGAAAAGTGTGGAGGTTCCTCAAAAAACTCAAAATAGAACTACTATATGACCCAGCAACTTCACTCCTATGTATATACACAAAAGAGTTGAAAGCAGAGACTCAGAGACTTGTACACCAATGTTCACTGCAGCACTACACATAACAGTCAAAAGGTGGAAACAACCTAAATGTGCATATCAACAAATGAACGGACAAACAAAATGTGGTACATACATACAAACAATGGAATACTACTCAGCCAGGAGAAGAAACAAAATCTTGATACGTGCTACAACATGGATAGAGCTTGAAGACACTATGCTGAGTGAAATAAGTCAATCACAAAAGGACAAATATTGTATGACCTCATTTATATAAAAAGACAAGAAAAGGCAAATGTACAGAGACCAAACTTTATTAGTGGTTACCAGGGGCAGGAGAAAGAGGGAAAGGGGGATTATTACTTATGTAATATCGAGTTCTGGCTTACAGTGATGGAAAAATTGCATTGACTGAGGGTAGAGTTACACAGACAATTACAGTAAGTGCTGTCAATAAGGTATACACCTTTAAAAAGCTGAATTGGCAAAAGCTGTGCAATAAACATATTTACAACGACCAAAAAAAAAAAAAAGAGTAGGCGCTGAGGGTGCTTATGTACAACCAAACACCTCACGGGATTTAGTTTCTTGGTTTGGAGGTTTACGGTCATGGTTTCATGGGCCATCCCAGTTAACTGGCTTAATAACCTGTTTATACTTCTGTTCTACTTCCTAGTTTACTGGGTAGAGCTGGGGGTCTTGAAAGCTTGCAAGTGGCCATCCAAGGCACAACTGGTCTCAATTCACTTGGAGCAACAGAGAAAGGAGAGTCAAGAACAGGAGAAGGAAATGGAATGTGTGGCTAACTGCCTCCATGAACAAATGGGTCCTCTGCCATAAGACCAGAAGAATTGGATGGTGCCTGGCTACCATTACTAAGCATTTTGATCAAAGATTTTATAGAAGAATTCTGATCAAAAGGGGGAAAATGCAGAACAGAATTTCAGATTCTCACAGACTCCTGACTTCCTGTAGCCATGAAGGTTGGATAAGCCCCTGAAACTACTGCCCTGAGATGAACTATAAACTTTAAACCAAAAATACCCTATGAAGTCTTCTTAAAACCAAACAATAGTTTAGTTTAGTAAAAAATGTCTGCCTTGAACATTACGCTATTTTAAGAACTATCTATATGGGATCAAACTGATAACAGCAACTCGAAAGATTAGACAGGAACCTTAGGGAGAAGCAAGTTTATGTTAATGGAGGAGGAAGAACTCAGAAAAGGAGGGTGAGAATGGTTGCACACCTTGAAGAATGTAATCAATGTCACTGAATTATACATGTATAAACAGTTGAGTTGGTGTATGTTTTGCTATGCATGTTGTCAACAACAACAAAATAAGTAAAATTTAAAAAAAAACAGAAAACCTACGTGCTTACTTTTTTCTCTGAATCAGGAAGTTCCCTCCATAGCTGGGCGATTTTTTTAATTAGTTCTGAATTTTTCGCATCTATGGATTGGAATAAAATGGGAAAAAAAAGTCACAAGTTTATCTGTCTTAGGATTAACGTCTCAAGACTTCCAGGAAAACATAATCCATTAGCTCTAAAAGTAAATTATATTAGAGACATTTCTATACCACACACAACTTGATAAAATGATTTAACTTAATCATTTAAATATGATTATCAATATTTTTTCAAGTTGGTTATCTAACTGAGAAATATGTCACATACTACCAAAAACAGTCCTCAGAAATTGATTACAAGTTCAACTTATACACTGTTGGTGGGAATGTAAAATGGTACAACCACTTTGGAAATCGATTTGGCGCTTTCTTAAAAAGCTAGAAGTAGAAGTACCTTATGATCCAGCAATCCTGCTCCTTGGAATATAGTCTAGAGAAATAAGAGCCATCACATGAACAGATATATGCACACCCGTGTTCACTGCAGCACTGTTCATGATAGCGAAAAGACGGAAACAACCTAGGTGCCAATCAACGGACGAACGGATAAACAAATTTTGGTGTATCCACACAATGGAATACTACACAACAATAAAGAACAAGATGAATCCGTGAAACATAACATGGCGGAATCTGGAAGGCATTATGCAGAATTTAGTCAGTCGCAAAAGGACAAATATTGTAAAGACCACTATTATAAGAACTCAAGAAAAGGTTTAAACACAGAAGAAAATGTTCTTTGATGGTTACAAGGGTGGAGAGGGGTATTCACTAACTAAATAGTAGACAAGAATTATCTTAGGTGAAGGGAAGAACAACACGGGAAGTCAGCACAACTGGACTAAACCAAAGGTAAGAAGCTTCCTGAAAACAACTAAACACTTCGAGGGACAGAGTAGCAGGGGCAAGAGTCTGGGGACCATGCTTTCAAGGGATATCTAGGTCAACTAGCATAACAAAGTTTATTAAGAAAATGTTCCGCGTCCCACTTTGGCGAGTGGCATCTGGGGTCTTAAAAGCTAGCAAGTGACCATCTAACATGCATCAATTGGTTCCAACCTACCTGAGCAAAGGAGAATAAAGAACACCAAAGACACAAGGAAAGTATTAGGCCAAGAGACAGAAAGGGCCACATAAACCAGAGATTTCGTCAGCCTGAGACCAGAAGAACTAGATGGTACCTGGCTACCACTAATGACTGCCCTGACAGGGAACACAACAGAAAGGTCCTGACAGGGAACACAACAGAAAGTCCCTGACAGAGCAGGAGAAAAATGTGGTGCAGAACTCATATTCTAGTAAAAAGACCAGACTTAATGGTTTGACTGAGACTGGAGGGACCCAGAAGACATGGCCCCCGGACTCTCTGCTAGCCCAAAACTAAAACCATCCCTGAGGCCAACTCTTCAGAGAAAGATAAGACTGGACTATGGGACATAAAATGATACTTGTGAAGAGTATGCTTCTTTGCTCAAGTAGATACATGAGACTAAATGGGCAGCTCCTGTCCAGAGGTGAGATGAGAAGGCAGAGAGGGTCAAAAGCTGGTTGAATGGACAATGGAAATCTGGGGAAGAAAGGAGTGTGCTGTTACAGTATAGGGAGAGCAATTAGGGTCACATAACAATGTACATATAAACTTCTGTATGAGACACTAACTTGAATTGAAAACTTTCACTTAAAGCACAATGATTAAAAAAAAAATTGATTACAATTTCAATTAGTTGGGTAATCAACCGCCTCATGTTTTTTAGCTTATATTTTAATAAAACATTTTTAAAGATTTTCAGGAAATAATTTCGTAAGCCCAACTAAAAAATATAGTCGTGATTCGCATATCACTACCTCATATTTCAATTACTAAAACACCACTTGAAAACATATGAGATTACTCTAAAATCAATCCATTATTTCCTTTCCTTTCCTCAAGTCTTAACTAGAATGGTGGGGTTTAACTGAATAACAAGCCATTTGTTGGTCCCAACTCCTATATTTTACAAGATACAAATACTTAAGATACAAATACCAAAGAAGAGCAGGAGTGGCAATACTAATCTCAGATGAAATAGACTTTAAAACAAAATCCACCATAAAAGACAAGAAAAGATATTATATATGATTAAAGGGACAACCCACCATGAGAACATAACCATAACAGCTATGCACCCAATAACAGGGCTCCAAAATACATAAACAAACTCTAACAGCATTGAAAAGAGAAACTGACAGTTCCACAATAACAGCAGGAGACTTCAACACACCACTCTTGGCAAATGACAGAACATCTAGAAAGCAACTGAGCAAAGATACAGAAGACTTTAAGGCCACAGTCAACCATCTTGACCTCACAGACACATATAGAACACTCCACCCAACAGCAGCAAAGTATACATTCTTTTCCAAAGCACATGGAACATTCTCCAAAATAGACGACATCTTAGGCCACAAAGCAACCCTCAACAAAATCCAAAATACTGAGATAATACAAAGCATCTTCTCTGATCACAACACCATAAAAGCAAAAACTAATAACAGGAAGAGCAAGGGGAAAAAAAAAAATCAAATACATGGAAACTGAATAACACCTTGCTTAAAAACCACTGGGTAATAGAAGAAATTAAAGATGGAATAAAAAAAAATCCAAGAATCAAACGACAATGAAAAGACATCATACCAAAACCTCTGGGACACAGCAAAGGCAGTGCTCAGAGGTCAATTTATAGCAATAGATGTGCACATCAAAAAGAAGAAAGATACTCGGGAGGAGTGTGCTTCTTAGCTCAAGTAGATACATGAGACTAAATGCGCAGCTTCTATCTGGAAGTGAGATGAGAAGGCAGAAGGGTTAGGAGCTGGTTGAATGGATATGGGAAATCAAAGGCGGAAAGGAGGAGTGTGCTGTCACAGTATAGGGAGAGCAATTAGGTTCACATAACAATGTATGCATAAATTTTTGTATGAAAAACTAACCTGAAATGTAAACTTTCACTTAAACACAACAATAAACAAAAAAAAGAAGGGACAAAATCAAAACATCAGCTATAAAACTTGAACAGACAGAGAACAACAAAAAGAAGCCCAAAGCTACCAGACGAAAGGAAATAATAAAGATCAGAGCCAAAATAAATGAACTAGAGAATAGAAAAAACAATAAAAACAATCAACAAAATCAAAAGTTGGTTCTTTGAAAGGATCAACAAAATCGACAAACCACTGGCCAAATGGACAAAAGAAAAACAAGAGAGGAAGCAAATAACCCAAGTAAGAAATGAAATGGAGGACATTACAACAGACTGAACCGAAAAAAAAAAGGATCATAACAGAGTACTATGAGAAACTATATTCCAACAAATCTGAAAACCTAGAGGAAATGGACAAATTTCTAGAAACACACTACTAACTAAACAAACACAAATGGAGGTCAAAAATTTGAACAGACCCATAACAAGAGAAGAGACTGAAAAGGTGATTAAAAAAACTTACCAAAAAAAAAAAAAAGTTCTGGCACAGATGGCTTCAATGGAGAATTCTACCAAACATTCACAGAAGAGCTTACATCACTACTACTCAAACTATTTCAGAACATAGAAAAGGAAGGGATACTTCCAAAGTCATTGTATGAAGCTAGCATAACCCTGATACCAAAACCAGGCAAAGACAGCTCAAAAAAAAAAAAAAAAATTATAGACCAGTATCTCTCGTGAATATAGATACAAAAATTCTCAATATAATTCTAGACAACAGAATTCAGCATCATATTGAAAAAAAAAAAACCACTCCAACCAAGTGGGATTCATACCATGTATGCAAGGATGGTTCAACATTACAAAATCAATCGGTGCAATCCACCACATAAAATCAAAAGAACCATATGATCATCTCAATCGATGCATGTGATAAAGTCCAACATCCATTCCTGATAAAAACTCTCAATAAGAGAGAAATAGAAGGGAAACTGCTCAACATAATAAAGAGCATCTATACAAAACCAAGAGTCAACATCATTCTCAATGGAGAGAGGCTGAAAACATTCCCCCTGAGAACAGGAACAAGACAAGAAATGCCCTTTATCACTATTCCTATTTAATATTGTGTTGGAAGTCCTAGCTAGAGCAACAAGGCATGAAAAAGAAATAAAGGGCATCCAAATTGGTAAGGAAGAAGTAAACTATCCCTATTTGCAGACGATATGATACTATACATAGAGAACCCAAAGGACTCCACAAGTAAACTACTGGAACTAATACAAAAAAAGATTCAGCAGAGTAGCAGGATAGCAGACAAACAAACAAAAATCAGTAGAATTCCTATACACCGATAAAGAGAACTACAAAAAGGAAATAAGGAAAGCAATACCATTTATAATAGCCCCTAAAAAAATAAAATAAAATAAAAAACCCAAACCTATTGCCGTCGAGTCCAACTCATAGCAAAAATAAAATACTTAGGAATAAATCTAACCAGGGATATAAAAGACCTACACAAAGAAAACTACAAAACACTACTGCAAGAAACCAAAAGAGACTTACATAAATGGAAAAACATACCATGCTCATGGATAGGTAGACTCAACATTGTAAAAATGTCAATTCTACCCAAGGCAATCTACAAATAGAATGCAATCCTGATCCAAATACCAACAGCATTCTTTAAAGGAAAGGAAAAGCTAATCATTTAACTTTATATGAAAGAGAAGAGGCCCCAGATAAGCAAAGCACTACTGAAGAAGACGAATAAAGTAAGAAGCCTCCCACTACCTGACCTCAGAACCTACTATACTGCTAGAGTACTCAGAACAGCCTGGTGCTGATACGACGACAGATGTATTGACCAACAAAACAGAATCGAGAATCCAGATGTAAATCCATCCACCTATGGTCACCTGATCTTCAACAAAGGTCCAAAGTCCATTAAATGGGGAAAAGACAGTCTTTTTAACAAACAGTGTTGGCAAAACTGGATGTCCATCTACAAAAAAAATGAAACAGGACCAATACCTCACACCATACACAAAAAACTAATTCAAAATGGATCAAAGACATAAATATAAAACCAAAACCTATAAAGATCATACAAGTAACAACAGGGTCAACACTAAAGGCCCCAATACATGGCATAAATAGAATACAAACCACAGCTAACAATACACAAACACCAGACGATAAGCTAGAGAACCAGGATCTTCTAAAAATTATCCACTTATGCTCATCAAAAGACTTCACCAAGAGTACAAACGGAACCTGAGAAACTTCACAGACACATCCAAACTCCCACAGGGGCCAAGAAACTGGGCTGAGGGCTGGGGACCATGGTTTCCAGGTACAATTAGCTTAATTGGCATAACATAGTTAATAAAGAATATGTTCTAAATCCTACTTTCGTGAGTAGCATCTGGGGTCTTAAAAGCTTGTGAACAGTCATCTAAGAGAGTCTTCTGGTTCTCCCATCCGCTATGGAGCAAGGGAGAATGAAGAAAACCAAAGACACAAGTAAAGACTAGTCCAAAGGACTAATGGACTGGGAAAAAATTTTGGCTCTGACATACCTGACAAAGGTCTAATCTCTAAAATCAGCAGGAAAATCCAACACCTCTACAATAAAAAGACAAATAATCCAATTAAAAAATGGGCAAAGGATACGCACAGACACTTCACCAAAGACATTCAGGTGACTAAGAGAGACCCATGAGGAAATGATTGCGATTACCAGCCAGCAGAGAAACGCAAATAAAAACTACAGTGAGGATACCATTTTACCCTGACATTATTGATACGAACCAAAAAACAGAAAATAACAAATGTGGGAGAGGCTGCAGGGAGACTGGAACTCTTCTTATGCACTGCTGGTGGGAATGTAACATGGTACAACCACTTTGGAAAACAATATGGCACTTCCTTAAAAAACTAGAAATTGAAATACCATAAGATCCAGCAATCCCATTCCTAGGTCTATGTCCTAAAGAAATAAGAGCCGTCACATGAATAGACATATGCACACCTGTGTTCACTGCAGCATTATTCACAATAGCAAAAAGATGGAAACAATCTAAGAGCCCATCAACAGACGAATGGATAAACAAACTATGGTACATACACACAATGGAATACTATGCAACAATAAAGTACAATGATGAATCTGCATGACATCTCACAACATGAATGAATCCGGACAGCATTATGCTGAGTGAAATAAGTCAACCATGAAAGTGCAAATACTATATGAGACCATTATAAAAACTCATGCAAAGGTTTACACATAGAAAGAAACGATCTTTGATGGTTATGAGGGACGGGAGGGGCAGGGAAGGAAAAACACTAACTAGACAATAAGTAAGTGGTAACTTTGGTGCAGGGTAAGACAGTACATAATACTGGGGAAGCCAGCATAACCAGACAAAGGTAAAGTCACAGAAACTTCACAGACACATTCAAACTCCCACAGGGACCAAGAAACTGGGGTGAGGGCTGGGGACCATGGTTTCTGGGTACATTTACCTCAGTTGGCATAACATAGTTTATAAAGAATATGTTCTACATCCCACTTTTATGAGTAACATCTGGGATCTTAAAAGCTTGTGGGCGGTCATCTGAGAGAGTTCTCTGGTCCTCCCATCCCCTATGGAGCAAGGGAGAATGAAGAAAACCAAAGACCCAAGTAAAGACTAGACCAAAGGACTAATGGACCACAACTACCACAGCCTCCACCAGACTGAGTCCAACACAACTATACGGTGCCCGGCTACCACCACCAACTGCTCTGACAGGGATCACAATAGAGGGTCCTGGACAGAGCTGGAGAAAAATGTAGAACAAATTCTAACTCACAAAAAAAGACCAGACTTTCTGGTCTGACTGAGACTGGACAAATCCCGAGAGTATGGCCCCCAAATACCCTTTTAAGTCAGTAATGAGGTCACTCCTGAGGTTCACCCTTCAGCCAAAGATTACACAGGCCCCAAAAACAAACAGTAATACTCATAGCTCAACCATGTACAGGAAACTAAACGGGCAAGCCCAAGGGCAAGGATGAGAAGGCAGGAGGAGACAGGAAGGCTGGCCAAATGGAAATGGGGAACCCAAGGTCGACAAGGGGAGAGTGCTGATATGTCACTGGGTTGGCAATGAATATCACAAAACAATATGCGTATTTATTGTTTAACGAGAAGTTAATTTGCTCTGTAAATCTTCATCTAAAGCATACACACAAGATGAATACTTAAGCGTACCTCTTATTAATCATAATGCGTCAATTTTTATTATGGCTCATTTGATTTTTACAACTGCCCCATGATGTGCTGCATGTGAAAGGGCTTTACAAATCATAAACAAAGGTTATCAATTATTTAGTTATTATCTTCACACTGTATCTCAAAATGAAGGCCCCACAGCCTTTCTAGGGATTCAACAAACTTCTTACCTGTTTGTCTTTTTTAAGAAATTCAAGACAAGAAGTCATTTTCCATGGAAAATTAACAGTAGTTTGCATAGAGTTTTAGAGCTTACATAACATTTTCCATTATTTCATTCAACTTCACTGATAATTCCCTGAAGCAGAAGAGGAGCTAAGCAAGAAATATAGTAATTCACCAGCGTTCCTCTAGGTCAAGAGCAACTAGGCCCAAAACTCACGTTTTTCATTTTCTCCACGGAGTACTTTCCACTCTATCTGCTGCTATTTAAAAAATATTTTTATTAGCTCTCACTTATATTTAAAGCATTTCTATCTGGTATAACATATGTTATACTTCCTATTTTACAGACCATCCAACAAAGAATGATTAAATGATACATTTGTTTCTGCAGTCACTAGATGCTTTGGTTAAGTGCATATCAGGTCTGCAGTTTAAATGCTTAGAGTCCTTTTTACTCGTACATCAGAGAAGAGTTAACAATCCCCCAAACTCCTTACCTGGGTTCTGAGCTTTAAATATGGGTAGCTGTTCGGTAGAAAATCGAAGGTATGAACTCAAAGGCTTCTTTGGGTAACTACCCAAGGTAGAGGAAAACCATCTCGGCACACACACAAAACTACCCACAGATAAAAAGAAATGTCAGGTTAATCGCCAGTAGTCATATGTATATGAACACAGATTCCAAACGAGGTGTCATCAAGATGCTATGTATCTCTAACATCTTCAACAAGAAAGTTAGTGACATTTAAATTCCGTCTTCATCAGGAGGAACAGCCTGCAAAACTGAAGTCTCAAAGCCCCTATCTCCTAGAAAGGGCAGAGAGTAAAGTGCCTATACTTCAGTTACCAAGTCCCGCCTCCTCAACGCCCAGATAGTGGCGGGAGGCTCTTGGCGCGACTTCGCAGAGGACGCTGAACAGGTGCTTGCAAACTGGACCGAGGGGAAGGACGGAAGGAGGCGAGGTGGAGGGTGGTAGGAAGCAAGGCACGGGGTACTACTGGAGTAAGGCCTGCTTTCAAAGCCACCGTGCCTTTGGCAAGGTCGAGGTCTGAATTAAAGGGTCAGGGTGGCCCTGACTTTAGGAGGGGCAGAAAGTGGAGCAAAGTGTCTACACTGCAGCCCCGGGGCGTCCTCGGCCTTGCCACCTCCTGAGGCGCAGGACAGCGGTCCTACCTGAGAGGAAAGCGCAGTCGACTTCCACAACCCGCGCACAGCTCGGCTCCAGACTTGCCCAGGGCACTCAGCACGCCCCATACGCCCCGGAGAAGCGCCATCGCACGGCAGACAACTCAGTGACGGGTCTCCAATCTTGCAGTCTCCTGACACGATAGAACAACACCAACAATGACAACAGCAGCTCCCGTGCGACCCTCCAGAATTTCTTATCACACCCGCCACTCGCGAGGCACTATGGGAAGCCAGTTAACATCCGGTTGGAAGATGAGGGCGGGGCACGGCAGCGAAAGCGAATAAGCGCAGGCGCCGTAGTGACTTCCCCTCCGCCCCCCAGCCCCTCATGGGCGGGACTGCGACTAGGGAGGAGGAGCTCTGGGGCGGCGAAGGTAAGCGACAGCCCGGCTTGCCGCCCGTGGGCCCTGGCCTCCAGGGGGCGCTGCAAAGCAGCCTTTACCCCTGGCCCCCAGCAGTCAGTTCTCAGTGGGGCCAGGTGACTGCTGGTGGGACGGCGCCGCCTCCCCCCGACCAGGTACTGGCTGGCGTCTGGCCGTGATGGCCCGAAGGGTTAGTACGTAACAGACAGTTTTACAACGAGGAGACTGGATAGCTGTGCAGCTGGCGCTGTTCTGTGGTCAAAGTGGTGGGTGCTGCGCGCCAGCAGAGGCTCTCCGTTCAAGTTGGACTGAAGCTCAGTTCAAAGTTACTACGGAGAGTGCTGAGAGCCAGGGTTCACAAATCTAAAAATGCAGATCTTCGGGCCTTGCTGCAGGGCCTGATTCAATTAGTCGGGGGTGGGGGGGTGGGACGGGGGCGGGGGGATGAATCTGTGTTTTTAACAAGTTCCCCAATTTTTTAACAAGTTCTGATGCAAGTGATCCACATTTAAAGCAATTTTGATTTAGACTGTCGGCCCAATCACTGCAAATATCCCTGACACATTCTTCAAGTCTGACATTCACCCCTGCTTAACGCTGTGGAGATGGGGACGATAGTTCACAAATTAGTTGTCTAGAGACTCAAGTTCTAGTCTCAGCACTGACATTAACATCTTGACCCGGAAGTGTAGCATCCGTTTTATAAAGTTCAATTTCTCCCTCTGCAAATGAGTGACGGACTAGGTTAGAGGTTTCCCAACCAAAGCTCTAAGAATGTTGGACAGGTATGTCGTGAGATATTGATACACATTTATTTTAATTGAGAAAGACTTGAAAGTTTCATACTGCCCCATAGGATTTCCAAGGCTGTAAATCTTTAGGGAAGCTGACTGCCACATCTTCTGGATCGGTTGGTGAGTTCCAACGGCTGACCTTTCGGTTAGCAGCCCAGCGCTTAACCACTGCTGGACCAGGGCTCCCTACAAATGATTTAATAATTTTCTAAATATTTTATTTTATTTTTCTTAGAGTTATATAATATAAAGATCCCATACACTTTTTCATCAAACCGTATGTTAGTCACCAAATCCCCTCCAGTTCACCCCAGTCTGCTATATATAAATACCATTTTCTGGGTAGGCCACAGCATGAAAAAGATTGGGAAGACCTAAACTAAAAATATTCAAGGTTCCTTGCAGCTTTTAAATTGCAGTTATTTCAAAGGTAATAACTGAGACCCTCTTTCCTATGTTGCATAGCTGTCATTGTTAGAAAATTCTCACCATGTAATATTAAGCCAAGGGTCTGCTGCTTTTCTGTAGCCTCCAAGCATTGGTCTTTTGGAGCCACAAAGCCACAAAGGACTAAGCCCACTTCTTCTTTTAAGTGGTAAGCAACTATCACCACTTCCCTTTTCATAGACTCTCAGGGTTGAAAGGGAACTTCCAGGTCATCTGTTCAAACCTCCCCTCCTGTTATGGAAAAAACTGTTTGTGTTTTTCTGAGCATATACTATGTTCAAGGCCCCAAACATAGATAAAAAGTTAGCTCTCTCTAAAGTCTAGTGGCAGAGCAAAGAAGCAAACATTTACAGTGTTAAGGTAGATAGAGGTAAGTATGGGACAAAATTTCTTATAATTACATTTAACTGTTTCTAAACTTTTGGACATTCAAAAAAATCTTTTTGTACTTGTTATTGTTTTAAAGTATCATTGTGATAAATCTTGTAAAAATTTTAGCAATCTGATCTATAACATTTCTGTTTTCATCAGATACCAATCTTCCTTAAAACTCATTTACATTACAGTGATGATTTTATTCTAAATACAGTATTTACAAGGAAAACATAATACTACCTTGTGATGGTTAAGGCTGTGTGTCAACTTGGCTGGGCCATGATTCTCAGTGGTTTGGCAGTTATGATGTAGTTTGGCAGCTATGTAATAATGTAATTACTTCCCTGATGAGATTTGTTATGAGCAGCCAATCAGCTGAAAGGAGTTTCCTTGTTGGTGTGACCTGCATCCAATATATGTGGGCTTTCTGGAAAAGCTCACTGGCTTTTGTTCACTCTGACCTCATCTGACCTCCGGTTCTTGGGACTTGAGCTAGGAGCTTACCTGCCAATCTTGGGATTTGTAGGCCTCCACAGCCTGTGAGCCAGAGACCTGCTGTCTGACCTACTGTCTTGGGTTCCCCAGCCCCTGCAGCTACATGAGTCAGGAGAAGCCTCCAGCCTGACCCATGGACTTGGGACTTTCTAGCCTCTACAACCACAGGAGCCATTTCCTTGATATAAATCTCTCTCTCTCTCTCTGTATATATATATCAAAGAAGTAGACAGTATACACTTCACTGGTTTTGCTTCTCTAGAGAACCCAGCCCAAGACATACCTACTTACTCAAACTGTCTTTGATCACAAAAGCATGGTTTTACTTATATTTACTTAATAAAACATGAAGACTTAACAACAGCCTTTCCCAGGGGTCTCTGCCTTTACTTCCATTTAAAAAGCTCATCCACTCCTATCCATGATTTCAACCTATTAGTTAAATACTCATGACTCCCATATTCTATATTGACTCCAAATATTTCCTTTTAGTCCCATATGCACATAAGCAACTGTGTGCTGGACACCTTTACCATCATGGCCCACAGGTACCTATGTAATAATGTAATCACTTCCGTGATGAGATTTGTTAATGTGCAGCCAGTCAGTTGAAAGGGAGTTTCCTTGTTGGTGTGGCCTGCACCCAATATATGTGGGCTTTCTGGCACAACTGCAACATTCCCTGAACGGAATTCACTATCTTTCCTTTCTCTTGAACTCCTTATCTTGGTAAGAGGCACCAGTATCCCACTGAATCATCGAAGCCAATTGTTGATAAATTGTCTTAGAAGCTTCCCATTGACACTCCTCCGCCATCAACCAACTGATGATGATTCTACTTCTTAACTCCTCTAGTATTTATGACCTTTTCCATCCCATTGTTGTTGGTTTAATTCAGATCAGTAGTGTGCTGGTAAACTGGCTGTCTGAAAAGAAAGCCCCAATTAGTAGTGTTTGCCAATTTCTGTAGTGTAAATACTCCCACCATGGCTGAAGTTGGAAATTGATGCTCATAATTGGCTCTCCAAGCCAGTACCAGCCTGCTTCTCTATGTCACTGGTTTAGGCTCTGCCATCTTTTCCTGAACTCATACAGTGGATTTCCTACCAATGTTTTGAAAAGGCAAGTCCCATTTATTAATTTACTCAGTGAATATGTATTTAGCACTCTATGCCAGGCAGGCATATGTATGTATTTTACACCTTCAGTGGCTCCTGATTACCCACAGAATCAAGTTCAAATTCTCATATTTGGCGTACAACTTCTCCATGAACTGGCCCTTCTGCTTCCTCTATACTTTCGTCCCTCATTTTACCCTTTCTTGAAATATTTTATGATTTTAATACCTATTTATTCTTCTGACTTAAGAGATACATCAAATCACTTCATTTGGCTCTGAGTCTACCGTTGCTTTTTGTGTGGTATGTTAGTCATAGAAATTACTGAGTAAGTGTACAGGCTTAAAAGTCAGACAGCTCTGAAGACAGATTGTTACTTATTAGCTGTGTGGCCTTGCCACATAAAAATCTCTTGGACCCAGAGTTTTCTCCTTTTAAAATGGGGGCAATAATGGTTGATTCTTAGGACTGTTATGAAGATTAAGTTAGATAATATACATAAAGTTCTTAGCAGAGTCCCTGGCACATACTAAAGACTCAATAAATGTTAACTATTATTATCCTTATGTTATTCATAGCAATTATTATTAGCTTCTAAATAATTACAGGTATAGTATGAATTACACTCAAACAAAAAGGTCAGATTTGCGTCACAGCCCTGTCATTACTTCTTTGTCATTTCCTCTTCCTGTTAAATAATATACATACATACCAGCATTGCTCTCTCTTCCTACAGAACTCTTAACATTTCTTAAATTAGTAATTTCTGGGAATAAACACTGTGCTATTTGATGAAAAATTAAACACATGCTTAGGTTTGAATCATTCTTTAATGATTTCAGAACCTTTAAAAATCATTTTATTTGATTGTATGATTCACAAACCAAAGAAGGTATTATCATGATCAGGGTTCCCAATTTACAGATGAGAAAATGAAGTTCCAAAAACCTAATTCACAAGGTTGTCATAGTAAATTGTGAGGGTGAAAACCTGGTCTTCCAATTCATTGCCCTGTGCTTTTCCCACTATATTAGACTGTCTCTCAGACACAGTTTACACACTATTTCATCCCAGCCCAAAATATCTTCCTTGAGTCTTCCATAGTATGTGAGCCTGCATCACTTACTTGGGACTTATCATGTAATACTCTGGGTTTTAATCTTCATTTTTGTTTGTTTGTTTTTAATGTATATATATTTTTTCCCTCAACAGATGGTAAACTATCTGAGGTCAAGACTAGGTCTTATGCTTCTTTTTATCCCCTGTAGTACTCTAGCAGAGTACATTGAGCAAGACAGATAGACAGATAGATATAGATAGAAAGAAAGAAAATGTAAAAGAATTAGCATCTGCACAAATTATTTCTACACAAGTTTGGCCCCACAGAAAACAACAGCTACTAGTCAGAAAAGTTTCATTGGCCAACATAAGGGAAAGATGGGAACTTCTGGAATATACACATGAAAGTAGTGATCATGGTAAGTCGATACTTGCACGTTGGTAAAGCTGAAGGTAGCACCAATAAATAGCAGCAGCAGCTACCCAAGGCCTGGATTATTCTCTCTGAATATTGGTGTTAAATGCATAGGTATCACTGAAATGAAAAAATATTCTTAAGAGAATG